CAGTTCTGGGCCACTTTAATTCACAATGAAGACTTGAAGTTCACCAGAAAACTCAGGCATTTTGAGAATAGGCTGTAATTTCTTTGGATGCCTGATCCACTTCCTCAACCTGAGTCCCAGATTACTATAAGGAAGATCTCCTGTTAGATACCCCACTTTGTGGGTATTCAGGGTTTTGATATTTCTTGCTCTTGCCCTGAAACGATGATGTAGCCAAGTCCAAATATATTGAAATTAGCAAATGCCATCAGGGCAAAAGCAGCTTCCATTCTCATTTACTTACCAGAGTAAAAATTCAGTCATTGCCTCAACTTTTTACTTATATGATCCAAGATATTAATAAACAATGTGACCTGTGTGAAGGAATTGGATTTACTGACCTATTAAAAAATCCTAGCACTTAATACATGCTATAGGAGTCCTTTCCAAATAATCAAAAGACTTTTTATTCCTTAGTAATTGTAGAAGTATATTATATAAATTATAGTGGATACAATACTTAATGCTCTACCACTATCATTTATGTCATAAATTCATGATGACATTCTAATTATTTTCTATTAATATAGTAGCATTCTTTTTATTTCTGGTAGCTTCTTTTTTTCTAAGTAGAAACAAATGTATAAATATCTTCTGATTTCCTACAGCAGTCCTCAAATCAAAAATGGATAGTCTCCAAAGAAGAAATGAAATAAGTTCTTTAACTAGACTTTACACCATGCTTCATTAACTCTGAGGTGGTCAGAATTTATTCAACATACTCTTCACCTAATCTTTTTTCCATCAAAATAGGCTTTTTCCTTCTTTATATTTAGACATAATCAAATGTGGGTATTTTCGGTTTAGGGGTATTGTTATTTGTTGTTTGTTTTGGGGTTTGGTCTTTTGGTTTTTGTTTTTTGGGTTTTGGTTTTTTTTTTTAACCAAATATAAAGTCATGAGAATTCAACTTGACTACCGCTCAAGATTTCTCCACATTTACAAATATCTGTTTGGATTTTGTGAAATCTTGGGAGCTAAGAACTTTGAAACAAGAGCAAACATGCAGTCATCCTCAGAGTATTCTTGATTTTATAAGTTCACAGGAAAGATAATCTTGAACATGATTTGCATTGCCTTAGTTGATTAGTTTTGTCCCTATCTTTTGGTTATTTTCAAATTAAATGTTTAATTACAGAAACTAATACACTGAGTATCAAATGTGTGTGCTATGAGCATGTTCTAAAGTATACAATTAAGAGGCGCCTGGGTGGCTCAGTCGGTTGAGCGGCCGACTTCGGCTCGGGTCATGATCTCACGGTCCGTGAGTTCGAGCCCCGCGTCGGGCTCTGTGCTGACAGCTCAGAGCCTGGAGCCTGTTTCAGATTCTGTGTCTCCCTCTCTCTGACCCTCCCCCGTTCATGCTCTTTCTCTCTCTGTCTCAAAAATAAATAAACGCTAAAAAAAAAATTAAAAAAAAAAATAAAATATACAATTAAAAACAGCTAGTTTTTAAATAGTTCACTGAACACAGGCAGCCATATTAGAGATTAAGGAAGAAAAACTAGAATGTTGTATCCTATTATAAATGTTATCAAAGTAATATTGTCAATTTTAATGGTATTTTAACACTGTTTTAGCAAAAGAGTTGTTTACTGGGGATAGAGGAACATAAATATTTATTCCGTTGAGAAGAATGGCATATGCTTTCAACTTATGGGTCAAAATCTCTTAATGGAAAAGACAATTTCTTTAAGAAAACTGAATTTTTGTCATGTTTTGAGAATTTTCTGGTCATTTATGGGTTAATTTTATGGTAATTTTTTCTATAAAGAAACAGTATTAATTCACTCAACAAATATTGGTATAGATTATCTATCAAATTCCGGATGCCAGAGAGATATCAACAAGTAAATAGATAAAAATCCCTGCCCTCAGAGGGCTTACATTATATTGATCAAATTCAAGATTTCTTTTTTTTTTTTTAATTTTTTTTTTCAACGTTTATTTATTTTTGGGAGAGAGAGAGACAGAGCATGAACAGGGGAGGGGCAGAGAGAGAGGGAGACACAGAATCGGAAACAGGCTCCAGGCTCTGAGCCATCAGCCCAGAGCCTGACGCGGGGCTCAAACTCACGGACCGTGAGATCGTGACCTGGCTGAAGTCGGATGCTTAACCGACTGCGCCACCCAGGCACCCCAAGATTTCTTTTTTTATATTTCAATCTTATATTTATCTAGAATTTTCTAGTGTAGACTCTGGTCTGCAACCTTGTGACATCAAAACTCTACTAACACATGGACAGAAACTTTCTGGAAAACAATTTTACAGTATCAAAAGCTTTAAAAAAAAAAAAAAAAAAGCCTTGCACATGGAACATTTTCCAGAATAGATCACATACTGGGATACAAATCAGCCCTCAACAAGTACAAAAAGATCCAGATCATTCCATGCATATTTTCAGACCACAAGGCTATGAAACTCGAAATCACTCACAAGAAAAAATTTGGAAAGACCACGAATACTTGGAGATTAAAAGACATCCTACTGAAGAATGAATGGGTTAACCAAGAAGTTAAAGAGGAAATTAAAAAGTACATGGAAGTCAATGAAATAACACCACCATAGCCCCAAACCTCCAGGATGCAGATTTGATCCCTTTTGGGTCAAAAGAGGGATACAGCAATCCAGGCCTTCCTAAAGAATGAAGAAAGGTCTCAAATACACAATCTAACCTTACACCTTAAAGAGCTGGAAAAAGAACAGCAAATAAAACCCCAAACAAGCAGAAGATGGGAAATAATAAAGAGTAGAGCAGAAATCAATGATCTCAAAAAAAAAACAGAACAGATCAATGAAACCAGGAGCTGGTTCTTTGAAGGAATTAACAAAATTGATAAATCCCTAGCCAATGTGATCAAAAAGAAAAAGGAAAGGACACAAATAAATAAAATCAAGAATGAAACAGAAGAGAGCACATGCACCCCAATGTTTTATAGCAGCACTATTGACAATAGCCAAAGTATGAAAAGAGCCCAAATGTCCATTTACTGATGAGTGGATAAAGAACATGTGGTATATTTACATACAATGGTGTATTACTCGGCAATCAAAAAATTGAAATCTTGCTATTTGCAACAACATGGATAGAACTAGAGGGTATTATGCTAAGCGAAATTAGAGAGGACAAATATCATATGACTTCACTCATGTGGAATTTAAGATATAAAACAGATGAACATAAGGGAAGGGAAGCAAAAGTAATATAAAAACAGGGAAGGGGACAAAACATAGACTCTTAAATACAGAGAACAAACTGAGGGTTGCTGGAGGGGTTGTGGGAGAGGGGATGGGCTAAATGGGCAAGGGACATTAAGAAGGACACTTGTTGGAATGAGCACTGGGTGCTAGATGTAGGAGATCAATCACTGGATTCTACTCCTGATACCATTATTGCACTACATGCTAACTACCTTGGATGTAAATTTTAAAAAATAAGTAATAGAAGTATTCAAAAAAATTCAAAAAAAGAAAAAATCCTTAAAAATGCAAAAAAAATACACATGCATGAAAAAAAATACACATGCAAATATACTCAGCAATTTTACTTCCTAGAACTTAATTAAAAAATAATTAAAGATGTGCACAGAGATTAGGATATTCATCACAGCATTACAAATACTAAAAACGGAACACAGGGGCGCCCGGGGGGCTCAGTCAGTTGAGCGTCTGGCTTCGGCTCAGGTCATGATCTCACAGTCTGTGAGTTTGAACACCGCGTCGGGCCCTGTGCTGACAGCTCAGAGCCTGGAGCCTGCTTTGGATTCTGTGTCCCTCCCCCCTCTCTTTCTGCCCCTCCCCCACTCACGCTCTGTCTCAGAAATAAATAAACGTTAAAAAAAAAATTTTTTTTTAAACTGAACACAATTCAACTAACCAATCATATGTAACTTGTTAAACAGATTATGTTATTCCTTATACAATAAAAATAACACACAATCCCTTAAAATTAGGTTTTATAAATTACATCATGATGTATAAAAATGATAGGTCTTGTTTAAAATATAAAAAGGGGGGCGCCTGGGTGGCGCAGTCGGTTGAGCGTCCGACTTCAGCCAGGTCACGATCTCGCGGTCCGAGAGTTCGAGCCCCGCGTCGGGCTCTGGGCTGATGGCTCAGAGCCTGGAGCCTGTTTCCGATTCTGTGTCTCCCTCTCTCTCTCTGCCCCTCCCCCGTTCATGCTCTGTCTCTCAGTCCCAAAAATAAATAAACGTTGAAAAAAAAAAATTAAAAAAAAAATAAAATAAAATAAAATATAAAAAGGACCCATTCATATGTAGAATTTAAGAACCAAAACAAACAAACAAAGGGAAGAAAAGGGACAACTCAAAAATCAGACGCTTAACTAACTACTGAGGGGAGGTGTGTAAGAGGATGGGTCAAATAGGTAAAGGGGATTAAGAATACACTTATCTTGATGAGCACTTAGTAATAGTTAGAATTGTTGAATCATTATACGGTACACCTGAAATGAATTTAACACTGTGTATTAACTATACTGAAATTAAAATTTAAAAATTAAAATAAAAATAGAATAGAATATGAATAATAATCCTAAATACATTTAAAAATATAGACGACCATACACCAAACCATTAACCATAGTTATCCTTAGATATCAAATTAGGAACAATCTTACCCCTTTTTTGCTTCTGTTTTTCCATATTTTCTACTAAATTAGAAAAAATAATCGCAATAATGAGCCAATAGAGTATACATTATTTATAAAACTCAAAGGTGTTTAAGGGTTTCAGTGTAATCTTCAACACAAAGACTAAGTATATTACAGAACAAGAGCCAAGGTGCATTTAATAGTTTGCTCATTTCTCCAGATAAAGTATGACAATTCTACAGAATTAGAGTACAGCTTGAAAAGAAATACCATAGAAAAATGTCCAATGTCTCCATTTGTAAAATGTCGTTAGATAATTAAAATAAAAATACATTTTGAGTTAGTTACCTATCGAGGGCCTCCTTAAAGTATTTTCTCTGGACATCAAATTGAAAGACTGTACGTTCACAATCAGTTGAAGCATTATCACTACCCCCATGTTTCTTCAAGAAGGCATCAAATCCATTTTCATCTGGATATTTCAAGCTACCCATGAATACCACTAAGTGGAAAGAACACAAAGTCAAAGAACACAAAGATGTAGACAATGTTATTATCAACAATGAAATTTCTCATGTGCAAAACAAAACAAACAGAAGAAATATACCAACATACTAACAATGCTTATCCCTGGATAATACTTTCTTCATTATATTTCTGCTTTTGTAATTGTCCATAATGCTCATCTATTAGTTTTATACTAAAAAAACTAAGCACTTTATTTTTTAAAAATATTTATAAAAAGGTTAAAATGTAAGTATTAGCATATATGCAGATTGTTACTATGAAAGTCCTAAGGTGCATGTTTACCCTCAAATAGCTTAGAAAATCAGAATATAAATAAATAATTCAAGAAAACAAATATAGACTTAAATTTATAACTGTACAGCAACCACACAGGTTTTATTTAGGTATATTCATAATTAAACTGAAGATTTTGTTTTGTTTTGGTATTAATCATGCCTCTTTATTTTCTGTATTCCCAATGTTTGACAGCTTGGGGCATTGCTACCCTGGAAGAGGCAGTCCTTCCCAAGGTTATAAGATTCTTAGAGATGGGCAACTATCTCCTGATCTGTTGGCCTTACCATACCAGAACAATAATAAAATCTACATTTTAAAATAGTTTTATAGGTGGGCTTCATTCTAATCCACAAAATTATACAGTCAAGGAGATTAAAATTAAGTCTTCCCCTATGATATTAATAAATGTTTTTCCTTCAGGGCGTTGGAGCAGTTCAGTCAGTTAAGTGTCCGACTTCTGCTCAGGTCATGATCTCACAGTTCTTCCCAGTGTCGGGCTCTGTGCTGACAGCCCTGAGCCTGGAGTCTGCTTCGGATTCTGTTTCCCTCTCTCTCTCTCTGCCCCTGCCCACTCTGTCTCTGTCTCTCAAAAATAAATGTTTAAAAAACTTTTTTTAAATAAATAAATGTTTTTCTTAGTCTTTTATTAAACATATCACATTTCTATAAAACCAGTTATTTATCTTTAAAATCAATTTGTACAAATTTGGAGGAAAAAACACACTCAGGAATAATATTCTGTAAAGATCTTACTGTGTTCCAAAAAGTGTGCCAGCCCAGGCAGGTCATCTGGATCAGCAAAACTCCCAACTCCAACACAAAGAGCCGCTGCAGACTGGAGTAAGTAGAACACATGCAAATAGTGAGTCAATCCTAAAGGAATAACACTGTCATCACATATTAAGGATTCACTTGGAGATGGATGTTTCCAACAGAAAGTAACAAAATTCTTTCCCTGAGAATCAGGAGGAGCAGCATAGTGAAACTCACCAGAACTGTGTCAGTTTCACCCTGCTGCTCCTCCTCTTGCCATCCTCCCAAATGCTGAACAGGTGCAGACCTAAGGGAAAAAGCAGAAACAGAAAAAAAAAAAAAGGAAAGGGGACTAGCCAGCCCACCCAAATATCATTTCCTGCCAGCATTTCAGAGTTCCAAACCAAGTATGTTTCCTGACTTAATAGATTTTGGAAATCTGCAGAAATAATTTATCTAGGTAGATTATTTCTAAAGATCTTAGCAATTAACGACTATGTGTTCAGTAACTCAGTTATCAGAGGTGAGACTTCTCAATATGTTACTCAGAAAATTTTGTTTTTATTAAAACAGGGTAAAAAATAACATGTCAGGAAAACATTTAATAAAGATAGTAAATGGTTAAAAAAGTCTTTATTAAAAAAAACTACAGAACTAAACTTTAAAGAGGCTTTTTAGTTCTTCTTTTCTTATTGATGATATACAGAACATATATCTGATCAGTAGGTATTCTCCCAATACCTTGGGCAAATCAGAGTTTTTAACAAAATGGATGGCCAACAGGTATACCAAATTATGCACTAAAAATGATTAGGGTATACCATTATGTGATTGTAAATTAAAAGACACAAAACAGAAGAGGAAAATAGTCTATTTGAATCCTTGAGGATAGGAAGTTGAATTATTAGCTTTCCCCACATTTTAGAAATGTCAATTTTAAAAGGCTAACATTTGGTGATATAGACTGCTTTGATAAATGGTTACTCCTCTAAAAAGAGAGCTTTCAAAAAATAGCATGTACCTGGCATAAAGCCTGACCATGTGTCATAAATGGAAAATATGTTTACAGAAGAACCAAACAGCCTCATTTTACACTGTAAATCCCATTTTGAAGTTGTAGGCACATAAACTCAGTTAAAAAATAGGGGAATATCCACTTCTTCAAACTACAGTCTAACCTGTTCTGGGATGTTTAATAGGTGCCTAACCTGCTTTCAGCTCCAACTACCCCATAAAGATTTCTTGCTTCGACCAGGGTTGAAGACATTTTTGTATAAGATGACTTAAACCACAGTCTATCAGTCAGCTTTGACCACAGCAAAAACAGGCTCTGCGATTGCTAGAAAAGAAATTCATACTTGAGAATTATCTACCCAAGAAATTCATACTTGAGAAATTCATACTTGAGAACTGACTTAAGAAAACCCTGAACAAATCATAATTCTGTATGTATCATACTTAAATTTCAACCTTGTTAGTTTATCAAACCTTTCAGATCAAGAACAACTTCCTTTTGGGAAGATGAAGATGGAGAGGGCTAAAAATGATGCCTCAGGTAAGTAGTTAATTCTTAATTAGGTAAATGTTCTCCAAAAACCTCAAAATTATTTCTTCCCGCTTCTTTTATTAACTTTCATATTTACCTTAAACAAGATCCACATTTTTCAAATAAAAATTAAACCATAAAATCACTGAAAAACCCTAAGCTACTTTTTAAGCCATCTCTTACATAGACTATTTCCCTTTTGCATACACTTATTCATTCATGAATATAAATCATTTCCAATGTTACAATCAGTCATAGGATCTTTCCTTTCACTAGTATAACCACTGCAGCTGAATAAACAATTTGATTTCATCTTCAAACTACATTAGGTTCCTGCATTCCTTTCTAATATGATCTAGAACATTAGCAATCAATATCTTATGAGGGAATATATCAACTGAGTTTTCAGAAAAGAAAGGCAGCATCTAAACCATTTTTAAATGAGCACTAGAATCTGATCTTGCTGTTCTAAAAAAGGTAAACATTTAGAGTTTGATCCACCTAAGCAAAATAAAAAGGGGTACCAAAATACTGGATGCACATCTTCATTAGTCAAAGGGGCTTACAACCCCTATAATAAATCTAAAGTATTTTACTATGTCTTGACAATAAAATCGGCTGTCAAAACAAGTCTTTAACCCTACAGTTTTACTTATCAGTTGACAGATGATATAAAGAAATCCAAAGTATGGAAAAGTTGCTAACAGATATAGAAGGAAACTTTTAGATAGGAAATATTCACTTATTAAGTTATAACATAATCAGTTTTAGAGCTAAAATAGGACTTAAAAATTATGTATATAATCTAGGGACACCTGGCTGGCTCAGTCAGTAAGAGTATGTGATTCTTGAACTCAGGATTTTCAGTTCATGTCCCATATTGGGGGAGAGATTACTTAAAGAAAAAATAAAATCTTAAAAAAATAATTACCTATATAATCTAATCCTGTTGTTTTAGAAATAAGAAAATGAAAAGGCGTAAAACCATCCAGATAGAGACAGAGCCAGAATTAGAACTCAGGTTTCCTGACTGTCAGTGTTCTTTTCACTTTGTGACTTATATAATTTCTTCCTATTATTGCTCTATTTGGAATTATGAGATCTATTTTAAATTAATGTATTAGTTCCCAATTTATTTATAAAGACCTTAATACAAAGTATCAAGTGGCATATGTATATATATATTTTTCCTTTCAGTATTTTGGTTTTTATAACTAAAGTTTTCCAACTAAAACCACTTGTCCTAACATGTTACCCCAAAACAGGCATTACTCATAATCTACATAGCAAGGGGCAAATAGCTTCTCACAAACATGACTCAATCCCCTTTCAACAAAAAAGTGAAAAAACTGGTACAATCTTCTTTAAGAAAGTAATTTTTCCAGGAAGAGTGACTATCAAAAGGATTTACTCATAACATATTTACACTACCTATATCTCACATCTTTTTATCTCTGAAGGCTGACCACCTTATGGTAGAATACATTTGACATCTATATTTTAGTCTTAATAATATGAACCTTACTTCATTTGTATGTTGACTGTACCATGTTGAATATATTATCAGTATTCAAGAAACTAGCTTTAACAAACATTTGCTGATCAATCCCACTATAATGCCTCCAAAATATTATCCTCTAATGTAGATACTCCCTACTGCAAAATGGAGGCATTCTTTAAAAGATATCTAGAGAGGAAAATTCTCCTTATCAAGCCCTATTGATATATTTACTTATTGTTATTATACTTGACCCATGAACAACATAGGTTTGAACTGCCCAGGTCTACTTAATTTATATTTTTCAATAGATACAACACTGTAAATGTACTTTCTCTTACGATTTTCCTCACAACATTATCTCTAGCTCACTTTACTGTAAGAATACAATACATAATACATATACAAAATATGTGTTAATCAACTGTTTGTGTTATCAGTAAGTCTTCCAGGGAAAAGTAAGCTATTAGTAGTTAAGTTTTAGGTGAATCAAAAGTTATACATGGATTTCCAACTGCACAGGAGGATGGGGACCCCTAAACCCCACATTGTTCAAGAGTCAAAGTTCAACTGCCCATTTTTATTTCAATTCCTCCAACTTACTTGGTGCCTCCCCATAAAAAGAGAAAAAATACATGAAATTACTAAGCGGAAATTATCCATGAGGATGCTTAGAACCATAGGCCCAGGTGAGAATTCTACACTACCCTGTTCTTTTTCCAGTCCCTCCAAGGATAATATACTCTCCTATCCCTCTATTCCAAGCTAAGAATTGCACAGATCCTCAAATATTACCAGTGAAAACCTCTAAGACTTATGATATGAGATCATTACATTTTGAGTTTTTCTTTATTTTCCATTCATTTCTTTTTTATATATATATGAAATTTATTGTCAAATTGGTTTCCATACTCCATTCATTTCTATAATGAGCTTTTATACTTTCCTAATCAGAGCAAAATGTTTTTTAAATATTATTTTTATACAGAATAAATAGACCTTTACTAAAGATCAAAAGATAAATATATACTTCCTTCTTTACATTAAGAAATAAAACATGAATTTAGGACTTATCCCAAAGAATTTCCAAATCAGAAAAAGACATAATAATAAACAAGATTCACACCTGTTTTTCAGTGGTTTTCTTTCTAGCTTCTGCCCTCTCTTCTAATTCTTCTAATTCATTATCCTCAGTATCAAGATCCTCATCATCATGTTCATCCTCATCATCAAACTCATCTTCATCATCAAAACCCTCTTCATCATCATCTTCTATTTCAGCTCCAGAATCTTCATCATCATCATCGTCATCATCGTCTTCTTCTTCTTCCTCTTCGTCGTCTTCCTCATCATCTGTTGCATCTCCTGTTTTACCTTCCATATTACTTAGGTCTGAAATCAAAAGTGCCTGCAAGCCATTCCGTAATTTGATGTACCTAAAAAAAAGAGGGAAAAAAAATCACAAACATTTTGAGTCAGCTTTTCATTATGTCACACAAGTAATCATCTTAGCAGAATTTAAAAAACAAAACAAAACAAAACAAAACAAAAAAAAAAAAACACGGGGCTCAAACTCACGAACCATGAGATCATAATCTGAGCCAAAGCCAACTTAACCTACTGAGCCACTCAGATGCCCCACCATACTTTTATCAGACAAAATGGACTTCAAAACAAAGAAAGTCATTATATAATGATAAAGGTGTCAGTTCATCAAAAGATGTAACAATTGTAAATATGCGTGCTCCCAACACCCAAGCAACAAAATATATTAAGTAAATAATAACAAATCTTAAGGGAAAAATAGACAGCAGTACAATAATTATAGGGGAATTCAATATCCCACTATCAGTAATAGGCAAATCATCCAGAAAGAAAATCAACAAGGAAACATTCGAATTGAACCACACTTAAAAACAAATGTACTCAATAGACATACAGAACATTCTATCCAACAGCAGCACAATACACATTCTTCTCAAGTGCACATAGAACATTCTCCAGGACAGGTCATATGATAGACTACAAGATAAATCTTAGCAAATTTAAGATTGAAATCATACCAACTATTTTCTCTAACTACAATGGTATGAAACTACTCATTGACAGCAAAAGGAAAGTGAGAAGTTCTACAAAATTGTGGAAACTAAACAACATACTTCTAAACAATTAAGTCAAAGAAGAAATCAAGAGGGGAATAAAAAATTATCTCAAAACAAATGAAAATGGAAATACAACATATCAAATACTGTGGAACACAGCAAAAACTCTTCTGTGAAGACAGTTTATAGCAATAAATACACGTATTAAGAATTCAGAATGAGAAGCGCCTGGGTGGCTCAGTCGGCTAAGCTTCTGACTTTGGCTCAGGTCATGATCTCACAGTTCATGAGTTCAATCCCTGCATCAGGCTCTGTGCTGACAGCTCAGAGCCTGGAAACTGCTTTGAGTTCTGTCTCCCTCTCTCTCTGCCCCTCCCCCTCCCTGCTCATTCTCCCCTCTCTCAGAAATAACATTAAAAAAAAAATTTTTTTTAAACAATCAGAAGGATCTCAACCTAATTTTGAACCTCAAGAAACTAGAAAATAAGAAATTAAGCCCAAAGTTAGCAGAAGGAAGGAAATAACAAAGATCACAGCAGAAAAATATGCAATGTCAATAAAATACGTAACCTAGAATAAATGGATACATTTCAGAAACACAACCTATCAAGACTGAATCAGAAAGAAATACAAAATCTGAACAGACCAATAACAAAGAGATTGAATCAGTAATCAAAAAACTCCCAACAGAAAAAACTCTGGCCTGAGAATTCTACCAAACATTTAAAGAAGAATTAACACCTCAAATCCTCCTCAAATTCTTCTAACATAACAAGGATGAGGGAACACTTCCAAACCAGTTCTGTGAACCTACCATTACTCTGATAAAGAAACCTATAGGCCAATATGCCTAATGAATACAGGTGCAAAAATTCTCATCAAGATATTAGCAAACTGAGTTCAAGAATACATTAAAAGGATATACACCATGACTAAGTGGGAGTTACTCCTGGGATGCAAGGGAGGTTCAATACATGCAAATCAGAAATGTAATACATCACATCAATAAAATGAAAAACAAAAATCACATGATCATTTCCATACACACAAAAAAAGCATTGTATATTATTTACATAATACATCCTCTCATGATGAAAACCCTTAATGTACTGGGCATATAAGGAACATATCTCAGAATAATAAAGGCCACATGTGACAAACTCACAGCTAACATTACAGGCTTACCTCTGAAATACAGGCCAATCCCAAACCACCACAATAAAGTACATATCACAATAAAGTGAGTCAAATGAATTTTTTTGTTTCCCAGTGCACATAAAAGTTATATTTACATTATACTGTAGCCTATTAAGCAATAACATTATGTCTAGAAAAAAATGTATATGCCTTAATTAAAAATACTTTATTGCTGGGGCGCCTGGGTGGCGTAGTCGGTTAAGCGTCCGACTTCAGCCAGGTCACGATCTCGCGGTCCGTGAGTTCGAGCCCCGCGTCGGGCTCTGGGCTGATGGCTCAGAGCCTGGAGCCTGTTTCCGATTCTGTGTCTCCCTCTCTCTCTGCCCCTCCCCCGTTCATGCTCTGTCTCTCTCTGTCCCAAAAAAAATAAATAAACGTTGAAAAAAAAAGTAAATAAATAAATAAATAAATAAAACATTTCAAACATTGTGATAATTATCAGAAACATGAAGTGAGCAAACGCTGTTGGAAAAATGGTGCCAAAAGATTTGCTTGACACAGCTTTACCACAAACCCTGTATTTGCAAAAAATGCAGTATCTCTGAAATGCAATAAAATGAGGTATGCCTGTATACTCGGTGAAAAACTGAAAGTATTTCCTCTAAGGTCAGAAACAAGGATGTCCACTCTCACCACTCCTATTCAATATAGTACTGACGCCCTAGATAGAGCAATTAGGAAAGACAAAGATAAAAAAGGCATCCAAATCATAAAATAATAATTAAAAACCACTACTATTTGCTGAACATATGATCTTAGAGAAAATCCGAAAAAAACAATCCAAAAACTACCAGTAAACTGGCAGGCTACAAATCAACATACAGAAATTAACTACATTCCTTTACAGTAATGACGAAGCACCTGAAAATGAAATAAAGAAAACAATCCCATTCACATTAGCATCAAAAACAATAAAATACTTAATAAATTTAAGCAAGGAAGTGAAAGATCTGTACAATGAAAACAATGCTTTGCTGAAAGAAATTTAAAAAGATGCCAATGGAAAGCCATCCCATGATCATGGATCAGAAGAATTAATATTGTTAAAATGGCCATACTACCCAAAGCTATTTATATACTCAATGCAATCCCCATCAAAATATCCAAGGCATTCATTCATCACAGAAATAGAAGAAACAATCCTAAAATTTGTGTGGAACCACAAAAGACCTTGAATAGACAAAGCAATCCTGAGAAAAAAGAACAAAGCCAGATGTATCATACTCCTGGATCTCAAACTATACTACAAAAGCCATAGTAATAAAAATAGTATGATACTGGCACAGAAATAGACACATCAACCAGTAAAACAGAATAGAGAGCCCAGAATTAAATCCCTGGATATATGGTGAACAATACTCAACAAAGGAACCAAAAACACCCAATGGTGAAAGGACAGTCTCTTCAGCAAATGACACTATAAAAACTGGAGAAACATACGCAGAGCAGTGAAACTGGACGCTACCTACACCGCTCAGAGAAATTTAAATGGATCAAAGACTTAAATATAAGACCTGATACCATAAAATTCCTAGAAAAAATGTAGGAAAGAAGCTCACCACCATTGGTCTTGGCAATGATTTTTCTTTTCTTTTTTTTTTTTTTTTTACATCTATTTATTTATCTAAGTAATCTCTACACAACATGGGGCTCAAACTCATGACCCCAAGATCAAGATTTGCACACTCCACTGACTGAGCCAGCCAGGCACGTCCCTGGCAATGATTTTTCTATACAATGCCAAATGCACAAACAACAAAAGCAAAAAAAAATTAGACTATATCAAACCCAAAACCTTCTGTACAGACCAAGAAACAACTAACAACATGAAAGACACCCTACAGGAGAAAATTTTTACAAACCATATACTGAATAAGGTGTTAATATCCAAAATATATAAAGAACAAAAGTCAACTTAATGACAAAAACAATTCAATTTTAAAAAGGGCAGAAGAACTAGATACTTTTCCAAAGAGAACATCAAAATGGCCAACAAATACATGAAAAGATGCTTAACATCATAGTTATCGGTGAAGTACAAATAAAAACCACAATAAGCTTTTATCTCACACCTGTCAGAATAGCTATCGTTAAGAAAACAAAAGACAACAAGTGCTAGAGAGAATGTGGTGAAAAGAAAACCCTTAACATTAATGGTAGGTATACAAATTGGTCCAACTATGAAAAACAATACGGAGGTTCCTCAAAATATTAAAATTAGATCTACCATGAAATGCAGCAATTCCACTTCTGGGCATATACCCAAAGGAAATGAAAAGAGGAATTCAACAAGATATATGCACTGCCATGTTTATTGCAGCACTATTCATAATAGGCAAGATATGGAAACAACCCAAATGTCCATCAATGATTGAATGAATAGGGGCGCCTGGGTGGCGCAGTCGGTTAAGCGCCCGACTTCAGCCAGGTCACGATCTCGCGGTCCGTGAGTTTGAGCCCCGCGTCGGGCTCTGGGCTGATGGCTCAGAGCCTGGAGCCTGTTTCTGATTATGTGTCTCCCTCTCTCTCTGCCCCTCCCCCGTTCACGCTCTGTCTCTCTCTGTCCCAAAAATAAATAAACGTTGAAAAAAAAAAACATGATTGAATAAATAAAGTAGATGTGGTATGTACACACAATGGAATATTATTCAGCCATGTGAAAGGACAAAATGGACAGAACTTGAGCACATTATACTAAATGAGATAAGTCAGAGATAAACATATATCACTTATATGTGGTATCTAAAGAGGTTAAACCTGTAAAAAAGAGAATAAAATGGTGGTTGTAAGGGGATGGGGGTTAGGGGTGGGAAGTAAGAGTGATAGTGTTTAAGAGAACAAACTTATAATGAGTAGCAAATAAGCCACAGCAATTTTACACACAGTATAATGAATATAAACAAAAATACCGTACTATAATTAGGTAAGGTGACAAACATCACCGTATCAGCAATATTACAATACAAAAATTTATCAAAGTAACATACTATACACCTTAAACTTACACAATGTTACATGCTATATTTATTCAACAAAAAAAGAAAAAGTCAATCCATCAGGAAGAGCTAACAATTATAAATGTCTATGCGCCGAATACCGGAGCCCCCACATATATAAAACAATTACTCATAAACATAAGCAACCTTATTGATAAGAATGTGGTAATT